CGTAACAGTCTTAATTTTTCTGGAATATATATATGTATGTATGTATGTATGTATGTATGTATGTATGTATGTACGTATGTACGTACGTACGTACGTACGTACGTACCGGTATGTATGTATGCATGCATGCATACATACATACATACATACATACATACATACATGAAACTCAGAGGGACCTATTTCCAAATAGATACAGGATCCCATTTCAAACCTTTAGCATTAAACAAATTACATGACTTACTTGACTTAAGTCTTTAGCGTCGGTACGGCATCGCCAATCCCTTCGCTGTAGAGTCGCATGCATCCCGAATCAACGGGATCCATGATTCTAGGCTGAGTACTACTTGAGCTCGCCGGGCCCAAGAGTTGACAGAGCCCCTTCTGTTGGAAAACGGTGGGCACCTCGAGAAGGCAGGGGTTGTCTTGATAATGAGAGGCTATATTTTGCGTGTCAATTATCCTTGCCCACCTTGCTTTCTAGTCTGGCGTCTTAACCACTAGACCAAAGCAACTCTCATCTCAGTGATGATTTTTGAGAGCTCAGCACATGAGAAACTGCAGTAAGACCCAGAGATGGCCATAGCTTAATCATACATTGACAAAATGGACTTTCTATACAGTATTATACTTTGGAACAGCACCAGATTCAATGCAGACACTGGTAGTCCTCAACTTAAAACATTTAGTGACTGTTCAAAGTTACAACGGCCCTGAAAAAAATCAGTTTCACAGTGATGGCTCTTGCAGCATCCCCCGTGATCACTTGACCAGAATTTGGATGCTTGGCAACTGACTCATATTTATAACATTTGCAGTGTCCTGGGGTCAGATGATCACTTTTGGTGGACCTCAAGTCAAGATTCACTTAACGACTATGTTACTAATTTAACAACTGCCATGAATCACTTAACAACTGTGGTAAGAAAAGTCGTAAAATGGGGAGAAATTCACCTAACAACCATCTTGCTTAGCAACAGAAATGTTGGGCTTAAATTGTGGTTGTAATTTGAGGACTATGTGTACAGGATTTGACAATGCTGAGAGTCACTTTGGTGTAGTGATTAAAAGTACCAGACTAATAACCAGGAGATGGTGAGTTCTAGTCCTTCCTTAGACACAAAGTCAGCCAGGTGACCTTGGGCCATTCCTTCTCTCTCAGCCCTAGGAAGAACAGGTAAGGCAAAACCACTTTAAAAAGTCCTGCCAACAAAACTGCAGGGACTTGTCCAGGAAGTCACCGGGCATCAAGTCTGATCAAAGGCATTCCTGCCCACCCCCCCAAAAAATAAGAACGTTGTGTGACTGTTCATGTGTACACAAGGTTAGCAAATACCTCAATACATACAGTTGAAATAGCATTGTTCAATGTTGAGCTTATTGTAAGATTTATAGGGACACACGTGATTGATAGTGTGTCCTTCTAGATGTCAGCTTGAAAATCAAAATTGTCAACAAGAAGGTCTCAGTTTCAGATCTGCTTGGAAATGCAACATGGATGGGTAACTTCTCTATGAAGAACAGGAATTTTGTTAGTCTATCCTATTTTGTTACGGTTTTGTTTTTGTGTTTAAATAGAACTATGTACTTTACTTAAGAGGATACCATCAGTTCCTGAATTCATGCAGCCTTTTCCCCCTCTGATTTCCTCTCTTTGCTATTTCTTTTAAAGGAAAAAGCTTTACGCTGACCATCACAGTCTTCACCAACCCTACTCAGGTCGCTACATATCACCGGGCCATTAAAGTGACCGTCGATGGGCCCCGGGAACCAAGAAGTAAGTGAACTCTTTATTTTCAGAAAGGAAATTGGTGTCTATTCTCATATGTTCACTCTCTGCGTCTATCCTCTTGGTTGCCAAATTGAATCACATGGATGTTGCTTGACAGATGTCATTGCTGAAATGTTGAAACGCGCTTCTTGTTGTGGGTATTTCTGAGACCACCACCATCATAATCTCCAATGGAGGGTCCTGCTGGGGGAGGAAATGCAACCAGGGTGGCCAGTCGGAACCAATGAATTTGGTGGGATGTACCCAATTCAGTGGTTGGGATTTGGTTGAGATGCAGCAGAATGTAGGATGGGAGAGGAAAAGACTTATGACCATAACTAAGGTCAGAATTTTCATTGCTAAGCAAGTTGGTTGTTCAATGAGTCATGCCCGATTTTATGACCTTTTTTTTTTTGGCCTGCCTGTTAAGTCAATCACTTAAGTGAATCTGTCTTCCCCCATTGACTTTGTTTGTTGGAAGCCAACTGGGAAGGTCACAAATAGCTATCACATGGCCCCAGGATCCTGCAGTTATCATAAGTATATGCTGGTTCCCAAGCACACAAATTTTGATTGCATCATTGTGGGGATGCTGCAATTGTTATAAGTGTGAGGACAGGTCGTCAGTCACATTTTTAAGTGCTGTTGTAAATTTGAATGGTCACTAAATGAATGGTTGTAAGTTGAGGACTACCTTTATGATGGCTTAGGGGTATGCTTTAAATATTGATGCAGATAGGTAGTTTTAAACCAGGTTTGGCAGGATGAAGGCTTAAGATGCATGGTTTAAGGTTTAAGGTTTATTAAAATTTGTATGCCGCCCACTCCCATCGGGACTCTGGGCGGCATGGACTTCTGAATCCCATTATCCATCAGTGCACAACGTTGTTATCCAGAATACTTGTGCAGAATTGTGAATCTCACAGAAATGATCATGGGAGCCCTAAAATGAGTTTAGCTTGGTTTGAGAGGCATGTGGGTCCCAAGAAAGCTGCCCCTTATGTAGGGGGGGGGGGAAATAGGACATTCTGGCCATGACTATGTTGTGTATTGCTGTTTTGTAGTCTCCTCCAAAGCATGACTTGCATACCTTTTTCCAAAAGGCAACTCACTCTTGAATGTTGCATCTCAACAGAACAACAGAATAGCAGAGTTGGAAGGGACTTTGGAGGTCTTCTAGTCGGGCAGGAAAGTATACTATTTCAGACAAATGGCTGTCCGATCTGTTCTTTAAAACCTCCAGTGTTGGAGCACCCACAACTGCTGGAGGCAAGCCGTTCCAAAGATTAATTGTTCTCACTGTCAGGAAATTTCTCCTTAGCTCCTGGTTGCTCCTCTCCTTGCTTCTTGTCCTGTGTTCGGGTGCTTTGGAGAATAGCTTGACTCCCGCTTAAATACTCTTGGGCCTGTGAAGGTTTACATTTAAAACTGAGTTCTCATGTTTGCAATTTTTTCAAAAATGTTTTCATTTTCCTAATGCTCTTCTTGCAAATAAGCACCAGTTTGTGAAAGAAGGCTGAAAATGTACTAATTAATTTGTTCTGGGGTTAGAAAAGAATATTCTCTTTTTCAAAAATATATTTTAAAATGTTCTTTCATTCTCTGTTCATCCAATATGTTTAACTAGATCAGTTACAGACATGGCAGCTGCAGATAAAACATGGGCTAGAGTGAATCTTGGTTAGTTTTCTTGTAGTTTAAAGAGCTGTGCTAACCCTTTGATTAAATTTTGATTAAGCAAATTATTAAGTCTACAAATCTGACACTGGGCTAAACAGCAGTCCTGTAGCACCTTCTCTGACTCACAATGTTATTAAAAAGTATATGCTTTCATAAATCAGATAAATGTTATCAAACTCCCGATTTGTTTTGCCCTCCTAGACTAACAGAGCTCTCCTACGTAAATCCAAGCTGAATGTGTTGTGTGAATGCAGCGTCTGTGTTGTGAATTCAAGGAAAATTGATTGTTGTATACCACCCAGAGTTGTCTTTGGTGAGACGGGCAGCCATGCAAATTTGATTGAAACATTAATGAATGAAACCATAGGGGTGGGTAAAGTCATCAGTTCCCTGTTAAACTTAGTCCGAGCTCAATCTCCAGAACTGAATTCTATTACTTTAGAGCAGGAAAGATGGAATAGCAAAAACTAAATTTATGATATCCACCAAGGTGTGTTCAGCATAAGCAGTGTGTTTGTTCCCCTGATTGTATTTAATGCTCAATGCCTGTTCTAAGCAATAAAGTTGTTATATTTACCCAAGTTTGGTTTTGCTTTGGAGAAATTTCACTAAAAGTTGAGTTTGCTTATCAATATTGATGTGATTTTTATATATTAAAAACTCTGTTGCTACCTTCAAAAAAGAGTGTCAGCACAGCTAACCAGGTTACTTACACAAATCAGTGGAACAGTAACAAAAAATAATTGCCATGAATCACAAAAAATCTCTAGGAGCATCAGCTAACCATCCATAGGAAAAATCCTAAACTTTAATAAGCTTAGTGAAATCATGGAAGCAAAGCTTGTTGAAAAAAATAATATTTTCAGTTACCTGCAGCACATAACATTCACCCACAAGGATATTATTGTCATGAGGCAAAGAGTTCCATGGTCAGAGTTCTGCCACAGAGGCAGGGGTGTTGTGTGTGGCCACCAGGGAGATGAGGACTCCAGAACTTGCAAGATGAACCAAGTTTGCAAAGTTAAAGAGCTAAAAGCAGGATAGCTTCAGTACATGCAATTGTTCTGACTAGGAATCCCATCACCCCAGGTAGCATGGTGACGGTTGATGGGATTGGTAGTGCAAAACATTTGTCTGGAGCCCTTAAAACAATGAAAATTGGCTTCTTCCAGAAATCAGGAAAACATTATTGTTTAGCCCACCTTTTTTACTTTTCAGACCACATTTATTTTCATTTGCTTTTTCTTATTCTTTCTTTCTTTCTTTCTTTCATTTTCTTTCTTTTCTTTCATTAGCTTTTTTCATTTGCTCTTTCTCTTTCTTCTTTCTTTCTTTCCTTCCTTCCTTCCTTCCTTCCTTCCTTCCTTCCTTCCTTCCTTCTTTCATTTTCCCTTTCCTTTCCTCTGTTCATTTCACTTCCAGAGTAAAATTACTGTCGCTTTCTCCTCCCTTGGCCATTCTTATCTTGGGAAATGGAGTGGGGAGGTGTACATTCCCAAGTTAAGGATTTAGCATGTAGTGTGAACTCAACCAAGGGTTGCCATGCAGGACTCAGCTAAGGCAGGGAAGGTGTGTTTTGGACATCTTTTAAAGGCCATTGACCTACCCTACATCTGCATTTGGAGTTCATCGCCGCCCCCGAGTAAATGCATTTAGCATAATTATAAACGAAGGCCCAGCTTATGTAGTGAATCATCCTCAACTCCTCTTCTGCATTTCAACAGAGGACGGAAATTAAAGATTTCTGTGATAGGCTGATTAGATGCTGGATGTGAGATTTGCCAGTTCTAATTTGACAAGTTTCTGACAGTTTAAACTTGTGGGTGAATTATCTGTATCTTTATATGCCAGGTTTTTTCCCCTCCTCCCCCACCTTTCATGTCTCTCTACAGACTGAAATTTTGCAATTGGCTCTAGAACAGGACTTTTGGGAGGCAGCAGCAACCACACCCAGACAAAAAAGAAATCGAGAAGCCTCTGTGGTTGCAGCAATGAGCCAGATCCACACATGCATGTAAATCACTCCCAAAGTTCCTCTGTTTGATTCCTCGAATTGCTGTTTTCAGGCAAACGAAACTCGGTATTTGAAAAGGGTGTATTTTTCATGACATCATATGTAATGGAGAGGGACACTTGGGACCATCTAGCTCAGGGGTCCCCAAACTTGGCAACTTTAAGACTTGTGGACTTCAACTCCTGGAGAGTCCGCAAGTCTTAAAGTTGTCAAGTTTGAAGACCTCTGATCTAGCTCATCTGTCTTCCCTACACAGGAATCCAAATTCGAGGACCCCTGATAGATCACAGTCCAAATTCCTCTTGCACATGCCCAGTGAACAGAAGGTCACACTCTCTTTTGATCCTCACTTCTACAGTTGAACTTGGACTTTCCCCCCGAACTTTCAATCAGAATTTGTCTTCCATAACTTAAATCAATGTCCTCCATTTTGCAGGTCAAACATTCTTGTACAGATCACCTTCATTCCTTACATTTTTTTAAAAAATTGGCATCATAACCCTCCTCTTCACTCAGGGGTAAAATCCACTTACCTTTGCTACCAGGAAACCCTGATTTCTAGGCAATATAAATCACCCGGCACAGCTGATCGTCGATAAAACTGGTTCTCCCAAACCAGTAGCATTTTTTTTACTACCGGTTTGGGCAAAGAGCTGGCATCTTTGCTACCAGTTCGGGCAAACTGGTCCAAACCGGTAGCTGTCAACAGTAACAGAGTTGGAAGGTACCTTAGAGGTCATCTAGCCCAACCTCCTGCACACGCAGGAGACCTGTGCTAGGGTTTTGAACCGTAGAACTGCCGACCTTTCTGATCGACAAGCTTGGTGTCTTAGCCACTGAACCACCTAGTCAGGCTAGTATTTCACCCCTGCCCTCACTCTATCCATTTCTTCTCATTTCTCTTGCAGGATTTGGTGGGAGTTCCTGGTATCATCCAGCCACATTGTGGTGCTGGGCCACTAATCTTCCCCAACCACAAGATGGCTAAGATCAGGTTGATCTAAATGACTAGTGGGAATGGCCTCCTTGTTTCCAGCCTTGGATCTCCTCAGTATCTTTCTTGATCCTCATCCCAGTTGTCTGAATGCACTGTCAGATGAGTGGGTACTCACAGGGTATGGCTGAAAAATTCAAAAAGACAGCCATGGAGGGTACAATCAAAGTTCAACTGATCTTTTATTTTTATTAAGCGTGTCCTCTTGCAGAATTTTGATTGCGCCATCATGGCTGCCATCTTGATATTTTTTTCAACCCTAGCTGTAAACACACCTGTGTCAGTCTCAAAAACAGTCAAGATTCCTTGAAGGCTGAT